GAAGAAACATGTAGTTCTTGTGGTGCAGCATCGATTTCATCCGGAAAGACCTTGAAGCTCTTCTGAAGATAGATCTGGAACCACCTGGAAACCTGAGTTTCTTGTGGAGAAATATCGATTTCTGCCGGAGAAAACATGAAGTTCTTGTCGAAAACCTGCGGTTTGTTCAGGGCAAAATACGAAGTTGTTCAGCAGAAACATCGGTTGATGCAGGAGAGAACATACAGGTCTTGTGGAGAAACATCGTTTCTTCATGAAACAACATGAAATACTTGTGGAGAAACATCGGTCTGTGCAGAGAAAACATGTGAGGAGAATGGTCGATTCCTTCAGGAAGAAAAGTTGGTCAGTAGAAACATCGGTTTGTGGCGGAAAAAACATGAAGTGGTTGTAGAGAGACCCCGTTTATTGCAGGAGAAAACGTGCTTGTGGAGAAACACCTGTTTGCTGATGAAACAACACGAAGTTCTTCTGAGGAAACATCGGTTTGTGCCCGTAAAACAAGACGTTCTGGTCGAGAAACATTGTGGAGAAAGACCGGTTCCTTCAGGAAAAAACTTACGTTTCGAGAAACGTCCGTTTCGCCAGTAGAACGTCAATTCAGTAGAAACACCGATTAGTGCAGGAGAAGACATGAAGTTCGTGTGCAGAAACATCGGTTTGTGCACGAAAAGCTTGAAGTTGTTGTGGAGAAACACCGGTTTCGTAATGAAGCAAGATGAAGTTGTTGTAGACAAATGTGCCTGTCTTCAGGAAGTTCAGGTAGTTATTGTGGAGAACCATCGGTCTCTTTAGGCCAAAACACGAAGTTGTTCAGTAGAAGCATCGTTTTCTGCCCGCAAAAGATGAGGTTCGTGTGGTGCAACATCGGTATCCTCAGGAAAACACATAACGCTCTTCTGTAGAAAGATCGGTCTCCGCATGAAGCAACATTGAAAATGTATTTGGATCTGTTGTGGATTATTCGATGAATGATAAATTGACATTGTTTCCGTACCGTTGTGCAAAAACCTTTTCAATTCATCAAAATAGGTTTTCAGATATGCCCTTTCCAATGGTGTGTTTTTCAAAGTCCAATGGGACTTTCATCTGAGTTCTCCAGAGGTCGCGTCTCTAGAAAACTCTTACATAAGTATTCTGGAACTTTTTAAAGCGCACAACTGGAAAGAGCATATCCCAAAAATTATAAAAAAACTTTTTATAGATTTTCGAACTGCTTCTATAGCAAATATCAAAATCCTTAGCCAAAACTGTGACTCTATGCTTCGACTTTAGCGTTTCGTTAGATCCAACTAGCTTTTGCTCAGAAAACCTACAGATCGCAGATCATTCCATGCAATTTCTTGCGCTGATTCCGAATATGCCATTGTTGTGGAATGAAAATCTTTTTAGACTGGAAAAAATGGGAAATACCGGGAAAACCATGGTTTCTTGAAGAACCCATATCTAAGTCCAGAAACTTTTGTGCTGATTTGTGCTAACTATGTTGATAGAGGTTAGTTATATGGCCAATATCAATGAAACTATCGAATGACGACACTTCGTTCAATCAGAATATAAACTTAGTTCAAATAAAAAGCTTGATCACACAGTTTGAAAAGAATCTGTTAGGCGCTAAGAAAGTCAATTTTTTATTTCAACTTCATATGAAGTCCTTCTAGTGGCACTTAAAGTACATGTCAAGTATTTTAGTTCTTTCAAGGACATTCCAATAACTTTTCTAATTCCCATACACTAACTCTAATTCATACACTTCATCTTTTCATCTTTCAAAAAGTGAGCACAAAATATTTCTGATAGATTCATACATGATTTGATAGAGCTCATCAAGCTCAGTAAGAGTGCATTTTTAATTTTTAAAACCATATTTTGGGCGAGAAATCTTTAAAATACAAGTGACTTGTTAAAATACAAAAAGCCATTTTGAAATTTTTTTTCTCGTCGAGAAAGAAAGTTGACTTATCTGCGGAAAATTAGAATTCTGCCCCTAATTCGCAATTATCTCCATCGGAACCCACCTCTTATTCAGCGCAAGTATCATATTCGAAATCAGCGTCGAAAATTTAGTCGAATGATATATATTTAAAAAATTTCAAATCTTTCAAAGTAAAAAGTCGACTTTACTCGACAATGGAGTAAAATTTGAAAACGGACGTACATCTCTTAATTTTCTTCTGGTGTCCAAGACGCGGAAGAAAATTATCAATGTAAGAAGAGAGAGTAGGTGCAGAGATGGGGGGCGGTATTGGAAGTGAGTTGAACACAATATCGCGTACTCGAAAAGCGAAATTCTCATCTTGATATGTCACTTTCCACAGAAGGAAAACATTTTTCCGCTCTTATATTTACCTTCGTGGGAGGATAATTCCAGACTGTTTAGTGAAACGCAAGAAAATATCATGGTTTTATGAATAAAATTTTATGGTCTGAGATAACAGCAATAAAGCTTTATGTGTTTCTCAGACTCATCGAACCCGTCTCCAGGCAAAGCCTCGTGGCTCAAACCCCGATCTACTGTCCGCAGTCTTCTTAGTCAGTTGGTAGTCAGTAGAAAAGGACCATTTATATCAATATACCGCTGCACATATTCCGATTTTTCGAATTATACACTAGTTACGATGATTCACTATTCTTTTGCATTGTTAAACCAAAACAAATTTTCCGAAAAACCACACACAGTATAATGCAAAAAAATGATTCTGCGATAAACGACAAAAAGCTATCGTCTTCTTGTTTATTTTTACTATGAGAGCAATAAGTACATTAAAAGCAATAAATTCGAAATTTAAAGATATTTTATCTTCGACCGTCGATGTAGATGAATTTGAAGAAGATATTGAATAAAAGTCGAAAGAAGTATTACTCAAGTAACTACTAAATCATCAAAAGAAGAACTATCTACTAGAGATGCAGATGATTTCTGTATGTATTACAATCATCTGCTATCGTTTGAAAAACATAAACATACGATATCTCAAGAAAGAAGCCACAGACAACCTCATGGTTTTCGACTTTTGAATACCATACTACGACCAATCGAGTCAAAAAATCTCAACCAAAAACCGATGCAGCACTTCAAAAGTTTTCCTCGTAAGTAGCGTGGTTGATGGAATCAAACTTGTCGTATTATTGTCGATGATAATATTGAGAGAGCAGTCGTGATCATGGTCATCCTATTACATTGATCATACATTTGTCATGCAGAGAAAATGTGTTGCTCTACTCACTTATGCAATAAGTAGCTTGCTAAACAAGTAAAACAAAGTGCGAATTGAATCGGAAAAGAAACCATCGAAGATTAAAAAAACATGAACTACCTGTCGATGTCGGAAAACATGGCTGGTTGTGAATTATCGTAAACATCATGACTCGATCATTCAAGCGGTCGCACACATAAAGATTGCCCTTACTGTCAAAAGCCATATCGATCGGCTGGTCGAATTTATTAGGTTTGTCACCGAAACCTAAATCAAAACGTCGTCAAATACAAATCCATTCAAACATGTCTACTTCCTCTATAACACTCAATAAAGTGTTCAAATCTTGTGAAAATCAAATCAGTTGAGTGGACAACATTCGGGCATCTTTCCATCAATCAGATGATTGACAGGAAAATAAATAATTTATTCTTAATTTTGTGTTATTTTGTTCAAAACAAAGCTTAAAACTCATCATAACTCAAAGAACGATGTTAATTATAATGCTCAATGTCGAAATTAAGTTATAATCGTTTTCTCAATTAACATTCATCGTAGAGCATCGATAATTATGTGATGAGAAAGACAAAACAACGTATATGCTTTGCCGAAGCCAATCATTCAAATTAAAATAATATACTGATGCTCGACGTTTCAAATCGCATTTGCCGATTCGAGTCATTGTGATATTGATGCATATGTTGCAGGGGTACTTGAAAGTTGCTGAGGCATTTTAAAATTCCCACAGAAATTTAAGTTTTTATTTCCCTCAGAGCATATTCAAGTAGCACTTTTCCGAATTTTTTCAAGGAAAAAAATTTCATCAGTGTTGGATATATTCTACATAATCAGGAGAAATTGAAAATTTCTCTATGCAACAAACTGAAACGTTTATTTGCCCTAGCAGATATTCCAATATGAAATTTTTTGTATGAAAAAATCGAAAAAGTGCTATTTGAATTTACTCTAACTGAGATAAAAAGTATGAAACTGCTCTAAATTTTAATTGGCACTGCAACATCTATATAAATATCGTTCTCCAGCAAAACTAATTCGGATTGTTCTGATTAATGCCATGGTTGCTTCTTTCAGTTCTTTTTACAACAAGAAGTCATGCAAAACCTAAGGAACACAACCATGACGACAGAATCAGACGTTTTCAGTAATAGTAAAACCGAAAGACCAAAACGAAAAAGAATTGACTCAGTGGTGAAGAACGCTAAATCATTCTGTTGATTAGGTCGATTTGCTCTACCTGAAGCTGCTGATATTACACATTACACCATTTATTTAGTCTCTTTAGGACTCGTTTGAAGATGCTGCGCTCCACTGACAAATATGTCAAATGGCTCCTATTTCTGTTTTACGTACGTTTTTATACACAATGTTGTGTACATACATATGTATAGGTAAGCTTGTAGGAAGCTTGCACTAGACTTAATTGGTGCTATAAAATGTTAGTTACTTTTTCATTCGATTCTCATCGTTGACCTATATGAACCTGCTACCACAGACGACTGGCAAACACTAGTTCTTTTTATAACTTCGGACCAAAAGCAAGGCTCTACGTCAAGGGGGAAAAGACGATTTTTTTCTTTCCTAGCATCGCTCAGCATCGGAGAGCATTGCTCGCGCAAAACTTTTCCTTTTTATGAAAAACTTCTGTTCCCCAAACAGAACAATCCTGTTCTTTTAGCGGGAAACCTTTCCTGATAACAGAACAATCGTGTTCTGGCCTGTGAATTCTATTCCCACAGACAGAACCTTTTTGTTCTGTTTGCGGGAAAGAGGCGTTTCCTTAATTCATGGCACTCCAAGCCACTCAGCATCTCAAGCTCCGGAAAGCTCTTGGAGCCGCCTTTTCCCCCTTGCTCTACGTAGTTGCAATCTAGTGTTCATACCGGACCCGCCAGCAATCGTATCGCCGATGGATGCATTGTGTAACCAACGCTGAATTCGTTCGTTGGATGAGTCAGCCACATACACAGCCTGAGTTTCATCATCGACCCATACAGAAGTCGGTCTCGACAGCGATTCAGCATCACTGCCTTCATTGCCCGTGCTCAATCCAGCCACAGTGGTGCCATTGTGCGCACCTGTTAACCATTTCTGGATGCGATTATTGGCATAATCAGCCACGTACACAGTACCATCGGCTCCATCCACATAAATGCCTTCGGGAGAATTGAGATTATCGCTTGTCGATCCCGAATAATATTCTCGGCCGGCGACGACCGTGGTGGTATTCGTTCGAGGTGACCATTTAAACACACAATGGGAAGCCGCCGATGACATATAAACATTTTTCTCTTTGTCAACCCAGACACCTTCACAGTAAGGACATGGACCTCCTACTTGCACGCCATGCGACGCCCCTTGGACCCATTTTTTGACACAATTGTCACCCAGCAGAGAGACATAAATTGCTTGTCCATCGTTCTCATCATCGACATAGATCTTCGTCGAATACGCGGCATTGAATATTACGGTGGTACCCGTGGCCGGTAACTTATTAAGTGAAAACATTTGAATACGTTCATTACCTGTATCAGCCACGTACAATGTATTCGTTTGTTTGTGAATAAAAATTGCTTGAGGTCCTTTCAGTTGATCAGATTTGTTGAGTCTCGTTCGTAAATGATTTGATTATCGATGAGAACAATACGATCCCATCAACAAAGAAATTGTTTCGTGTTGAAATGACAGCATAGTTTTCTTTTTTGCTTTAGTCAGCAATAAAAACAACCTTGTTATTTTCGATCATATGTACATGTTTTTAAAACTCAAACGATTCTCACTTCTTTGCTTCGTATGATCACATGCTTTTGTGAATCACCTTTTGCCTGCCAGACCAGTACCAGCCACGATGATTCCGGTTGTGTTCCATTTTGCGCAAGGGCTCAATGTCACCGATTCCAGAGACGGCAGCCAACACAAGAACATAACTTGAACATATACAGAGATCAACATAAAACTCATTTGTTCGGCTCAGAATTGAACTTGCAAGAATCGAGGACGGAATTTTGTATTTAATGATGACGGTCGCTGTGATCCAAACGAAAGAATATTCACAATCTCAACGGAGCAAAAACAGATTGACGTTACATTTTGAGTATAAAAGATAAGATATATTTACACATGTATCACCTATGCGCAACAAATATCAAGCGAAACGAATACACTTGTGGTGCAAACTGCACTGTTGACCAGCAGTAATTTTAGTAGTACGAAGCAAGTTGACCTACTTAATATTCGTTTGTACTAGCAATCAAAAAACGTTTTAAACAAATTGAACTCAAGAATGGGACGAGTTTTTGATCGGCAATTTTTCTCACTACTAACAAACTTTCAGCAGACTTTCTGCAGAAGTCAAATGTGAAACATGATGGAACCGCTTTGATTGCATGTAGACACGCTTACTAATTATATTGATCACAATCTATCGCAAGGTGAAGAGAGGGTCTTATTCAAATGTCTCTCAACACCTGTGCTAGGAGATAAAAGAACATATTACGAGAGAGAAAACCGGACTCGTCGAGCTTCAACATCCCCAATAGATTCAAAATCCCAAAATCTATTGAAAATCCTGAAGCCACAGGATCTCTTAATTTAAACTATTTCCATAATACATCACTTAATATATGTATCCATACAACATGTTTACTACCAGGGCTCGCTCGAGACACTCAGAATTGCGGAGGGGGCCAAAATTCTTTTAACGATTTTTCCTTAAAAATATACTTTAGGAGGGTCCACCGGAAATTTTTCACTGTGCGAGCTTTTCTTGCAAATTTGTTTTTTCGTTTGGCTGGTGAAAAAAAATTATTTTCAATTATTGGAGAGTTACTCTCATGACTCCCTTCCTCTCCGCTAAAACCAGCCCTGGTTACTACAATCAATTGTCTATGAATGCACTAATGTTTACGAAATCGTTTTACTTTCTCATTATTCCTGTCCAAATATACTGGACAATGAACGTACAATCTAGATTTCCAGAAAGGCGAAACCCTTAAAATAAACATGAAATTTTGATAAAGACAGTTCTTACCTGGATTTAGAAATATATCAAGCAAATATTTTAGCTATGAGACTTTTATTTACAACACAATATGACGTGTCGTTTATATAATGTAAATTTCAATCACATAGACAAAAAAGTTTTTATGGTGGGTTCTTTTCTCATGTTATCAATCTGTAAACACACAAAATAAAACACAAAACTAATGCGTCATAATTTATATTAAAAATATAGAGACAAATATAAAATTTTCTATAGCTTAATATATTGAGAATAGAAGACAATAAAATTTTTATACTAGGTTTTTTCTTAATTAATGCTCCTAAATCTAAAACTTTCCGAGCTTTCTACGAGTTTCTGGTCAAACGAAACCTTTAAAAATCTCAGAAAACCAGTTCGGAATTTTTTATTGATTATGGTTTTCGAGGCCTATAAAAACCTTTTTTGTCTATATCATTGAAATTGACATTATTTCTGTATTATCGAGCGACGTCTGTCTCGCTCACATTTCTGGAAAGCTTCATCAAAATCGGATGTAAGACAAAAAGATTCTATTCTGAGGGGATCTTTCTTAATTGTTAAAATATGTGAGATACTATTGTCTTCATCTTAAAAAATTTCTAGAAATTCATTGATCTATCAACTTCAAAGAGACTTGTTGTCCACCAGTTGGAAAAAATGTGGCAATATAACTTATTGTTCTCAAGTGACATACAATAACGGCTATTTCAATGCCATCAATAACTCCTCTATGTAAACTTTTCCATACAGTGCACGAGAGTCTATTGTCTACATGAGATGAATCTTGTCTTAAGACCGACCAGGCAGAATTTACGATTTGTTCATCCGACCAATTTGCTGGAAATAGAGTAGAAGTTTTACTTACAGGTGTTAAAAGAAGTTTACCATTCGCATCTTTTCCCAATACTTTCCTAAATCTCACAGTTATTGTACCATCTCTATTCACTATGTGAGAACACTTTACATTGGTGCCCTTTGAAGCTCTCACGTTTTCCCCGTTGGGTCCTCTTTGAATCCTTTGAGTAATATGATAATTAGAGTGATCGCGAAGAATGCGTGGGGAATGTCCACCAAAAATTCGCGGCTTTCCTTTAACTAGCACAAACCATCCATTAAGAACTTCTTCCACAATAACCAAAGACAGATAAGTTTGTTCTTTGCCAACATCAAAAGACTGTTTTGCTCTTTTAGCTGCATATTCCTTCTCTACGGGATCATTTTCCACTGATCGTTTTTGACTTATAAATGCTGATAATTTTACAACAGTAGCATCTTCGTTTCGAACTGTCCTATCCTTTTTCTCATCTTCTTCTTCTGCCTCTACATCAGCAGCAACCATTTGGTCCGAATTATACATCTGAAGATACCGTTTCAAAGCAAAAATCCAGCTACTAATATAATGTTTCAATTTTTCAATCATCACTGTCTGAAATAATAAACCAAGACAATAAATGCTTTACTATATTAAGCTTTTTGAGAAAATACCTAGCTGTTTTTCAAAGCTAGTAACATAAGTAGAAGCCTGACCTTCGCTATTAGGAATAAAGAGAAATCCTCCATTAGTCTTTAGGGTTGCTTAGTTATTTAGCACCTGCGTCAATTTTGAAGAAATTAGCAAAGAGACAGTCAGCAGCATGCTAGTCAGCATTAGATGCTAGATATAAAAGCGCTATTAACTTCCTATATGCATTAAAGAACGATATTAATTCCAGCAGATTTGATTTCTATAGTCATTTCGAATATTGTGTTTGGTTCAGTTTCGTCCCCTCTTTAGTGGCTTTCAGCCGACTTTTACATAAAAGACTGTTGCGTCAAATAAAAGCAATTTTCAATTAATTTCCGTTCGATGCGGATATTAGATTATATGAAAGTCATTGAAACTAATTTCAGGCGCAAAAGCTCTTGTAAAAGTGGGCTGCAACCGATCAATCTCGTACAAAAAGCAAGGACTGTATTTTCACGACTATCCGTATGCCACCCACCATCATCACGCATGGTAGACATGGCTCAAACAATCTTTTCTGTACACTATTAAAAGTCCTGCGTTGGAGCGCATTCAAAAATACCTCAATACATTCCGGTGATTTCCTTAAATTAACTGTAGTACATACGTTAATATCACGATTTACCTCAGACATATTTCTTTATTGATATTGTCGTATAATATACCTACTTCGTGCTTGAATGAGCAGTCAGTTTGTTAGTAGTAAGTTCAACAACGTTCTAGCATGACGTACGTGTATGACGTGATCAATAAAGACATATGTCTAAGTGAAATCGTGATATTAACGCACGATATGTAATATAGTTAATTTAAGAATATTACCGGTATGTATTAGGGTATTTTTCTTGTGTTCCAACGCAGAATTTTTAGTAGAGTAAAAAAAAGATTTTTTGGGCTATTTCTACCACGCATAAATCAAAAATCAGGCTCTATTAAGTTTCTAAATGGAAACTTTACCTACAGTCGATGACATTCACGTACCTGATAGCTTTGCCAGCTAATGTAGAAGGTGGCGATGAGCCGAGTTTTCTCTAATGATAATGATGAGTCTTGTTAAGACTTCCACAATCCTTATGTTATTTCTTTGAAAAACCTTTTCCTGCCTTATTGTGCACCTAAGCTCAAGATGAGGAGTGTCTCGTCAGACCATTATGGCTAGGAATAAACGCTGGGCTCTTCGCTGTTCCAAGCGGCCATTACTACCCGTGTCAAATTTTTTAACGATTTCTGCAGAAATGTGCGTTTTTGGTCACACTAACGCAACATCAGAAAACGCATGGTTCTTATATCCGCTTTCTTGAGCTGCATTTTTACCACGTAAAAAGAACTGAAAGAAGCAACCATGGCATTAATCAGAACAATCCGAATTAGTTTTGCTGGAGAAAGATATTTATATAGATGTTGCAGTGCCAATTAAAATTTAGAGCAGTTTAATACCTTTTATCTCAGTTAGAGTACACAGTGGGCGGCATCCAGGCGGACATTAGGCGAAAAATTAAAGTGGCACATTTCTTTAATGTAACTAGTGCAAAATGTAGCCCTTGAAATTCTCTATCGAATGGTGTATGGATGTCTATTTTGATGTCGACTCCTTCGAGGAGAAAAATGAAGTCGAACACTATATGACAAAACT